TGCTGCAGGTTGCAGTGGAAGGATGCCTCGTTACAGTGACCGCCATGCAAACACGAGACTTTATGTTGGACGCCTATCTTCGAGAGTTCGTTCGCGTGACCTTGAGGACCTTTTCAGCAGATATGGAAGGTATTATATCCTGTTCTTATAAATGTTTTCAGCATATTATTACTACATTGCTCTTCCTATGGATTAGTTAACTCTGCCTATGTAGCCGGTCTCTTGTTGAAGCTTTTGCTGGTTAGCCTGTGCCCTGTTCTTATAAATTTTTCCAAATTAATGTTGTAGTAGAAGCTAGCTTAGGTCAGCTATATAGGTTTTCTTCCTATAGTCATCTGGTTGTGTATGTTATCCAAATCTAAGCTCTAAGGGGGATTGTACAATTCTGATTTCTTTTTTGAATTTAGTTTGTCCTTTGTGCGTTTTAATAAATTTTACTTTATTGCACGTATAAATTGTTTGTCTCGCAGTCCGTAATCTTTAAAACAAAATTAATGACTGGTGAAGGCTTGCTTAATTCTATTTGTTTACGTGTGTGTAGTCTTTTGGTTGATTTTTTTGGCGGTTCTCTTGTTGTTCACTTCTATGGAAACACTTATATATAACACCGATTTTGTAAAATGGGCTGTAGGATGAAACAGAAATCTTATTGGGGCCATATTCCTTTGACAAGCCAGTAAACCTACTTCCAGGTTTCTGTGTATTTTTTAGGAGTTTTACGCACCAGCCACTCAATTCCTATGTATTTACATATCTAACACCTAAACTTCAATTTTTACATATATGCCATCTTTCTTATTTATGAAAAGGTGCATTTCACTTTTTAAAAGTGAAAATAGTGTTATTTTTAATGTGGAGGATTTGAGTGGTATAAATGTAAAAAATGATTATTTATATTGTGGAGGATTTGAGTGGTATAAATGTAAAAAATGAAGTTTAGATGCTAGATATAAAAACACATAAGAATTAGGTGGTAGGGAAGTAAATGCCCCCTTTTTTTATTTATCACGTGAGAAGGTTTAGCCCTAGGTGTCTTGTATCTTAACATTAATGATCTTGTTGAAGGTTTTTGGGCTTTTTCCCAACCTGGAGGTCCCCGGTGGGAGGGTGCCCTTGATGGAATTGGTGGCTGTTGTAGGAGACTTTGGCGATTCTTTCTGTAATATTATGTTTTTATGGAAATGGCAACAATCACAAAGTGGTGTTTAAGTGATGATGGCCTTACTCTTTGTGGCAACCGTTTACGCAGAGTACGGGATGTGGACCTGAAGTACGACTACGCCTTTGTTGTATGTTAACCTCAACTTCTTATATTCCTTCTTTTTTTTGAGTAAATGTTTTTGAAATTTTTTATTTTCTATTTGCAAAATCAAGGTTTTGGTATTTGCCAAGCCACTGTCCATATAAGTTGTCATTTTACCCAACTTTTTTTTAATTATGTAATAAAATCAGGAATTTAGTGATCCACGAGATGCTGATGATGCAAGGTATAATTTGGACGGACGAGAATTTTACGGTGCTCGTATTATTGTTGAATTTGCCAGAGGGGTAAGTATAGATCCATTTACGTTAACAAGCAAGATTTGAGAACCAAGATCCACTTGTTTTCTTTTCTGTTAATCCCTTGTTTTGTAGCATTTGTTGCAGCTTTGAATTTCACCTACTTAGGTGTATAGCTGAGCTAAG